AGGTGAAAACTAAGGTTTCCATCTTTATTCATTGAAACAACGACACTGAGACACTTGCTAACTCAGACAAATGTTTAAGCATGAGCTTGTGTTTGTTTTACAGCTGCGGCCCATTTGGTTGGAATTTGTGATTGGCTGTGAAGTCTCACCTCCCTCGAGGGCAGTGGTTCTCAACCTTCCTAATGCCGCGACCCTTTAATACAGTTCCTCATGTTGTGGTGACCCCCAATTTCATTGTTACAAATTTAACATAATTGAAGCATAGTGATTAATCACAAAAACAATATGTAATTATATATGTGTTTTCCTATGGTCTTAGGTGACCCCTGTGAAAGGGTCGTTCGACCCCCAACGGGGTCGCAACCCACAGGTTGAGAACCGCTGCTCTAGGGTATTGCTGATGTTATTATGCAGAGAAGACGAAAGGTAGCGTCCCAGCATCCCAGCATCTGTCTGTAGTATCACAGGATGAAAGGAGTTGGCGTGGCTTTGGCAGACAGCATCTGAGGGACAGCGAGAGCTACTGCTGCTGGTGTCTGGTGGTGGAGTTAGGCTAAACCTTCCTGCTGAAGTGAAATGAATGAAGAGGCTGCATGGAGCACCCAGGGTCTGAGGCAGTAGGGAGCTGTGCGGTCATTACTGGATGGAAACAGAAAGGTACCCGAGAGCCAGAGCCACACAGCCACTCGGTCCCAAGTGTGCTGCCCACTGACCCCTGCCTGGGGGACAGCGAGGGCAGGGCCCACCCAGGGTGAAAATTCTGTGGGGGACATGTCCACATTAAGACATCCCCTCTTCTGCTAAACCCCTGGGGGACCCAGGGGAGAGGTCTGAGCCTCAGTGAAGCAGAGCGAACGGACGGAAGACAGGCCTCCCCAGAGAGCCTCCCCAGCGCAGTGGTGACAGGTGAGCCTAGGAAGCCTTTCACAGGAACAACTAGCACTGATCTCACCTAAATGATTTCAGGAAACAGAAAGAGAAGAGACACATCCCAGCTGCTGGTGTGAGAGGGGCACCGCCTTGATGTACAAACCAGATCAGGACGTCACTGGAAAGGAAATGACAGGCCAGTCTCTCATGAATGTGGATGCAGAAATCCCAAACAAAATATCCGCAAATTGAAAGCAGTACAAGAAAAAGAAAAAATACCTCACCACCAAGTTGGATGTATTATAGGAATAGATTGGTCTTAGAAAATCAATCATATAGCCAATCATATAGATACATTAAATTAGAAAAATAATATGATCACCTCTGTAGACTTATAAAAGGCATTTGGTAGAGTTCAGCCTGCACTCAATTAAAGAAAACAACATCCAACAACTATAACACCTCTTAGTAAAGTGAGAATAGACAGGACTCTCCTTAATCTCACAAAGGGTAGCTATAGAAGACTGACACACATCACTCAGTGGTGAAATGTAGAAAACTTGCCTGAGAAATGACAAGACAAGGATGACAGCTAACACCACTTCTACCCTACTCGTATTTGAGGTCTCAGCCAGTGCAGTAAGTACTGAAAGGAAATAAAAGTTCTAAAGATTGTAAAGAAATAAATAAGAATCTCATTGTTCACAGATGACTGTATACATAGAAAAACCAAGGCAATCTATTACATAAGTTACTAGAATTAATAAATGAGGCTTGCCTTGTTGAATGCACCAAAAATTGCATATTGTATTGCATTTCTTTATGCAAGAAAGAAACAAAACATGAGCATTTATAATATACTCAGTGCACAAAATTCATGCACGGGGGGTGGGGGGGTGGGGGGTGGTGGTGGTGTCCCTTAGCTAAGCCTGTGCCCTCTCACGGTGGGAGCGGTCCTAAGCCGGCATTCGGACATCCTTAGCACTGCCTTAGAGGCAGGAGAGGCTCCTGCCACAGTCGCTGCGCTCGCCAGCCTTGAGCCCAGCTTCTGGCTTAGTGGCGCTCCCCCTGTAGGAGCGCACTGACCACCAGGGGGCAGCTCCTGCGTCGAGCATCTGCCCCCTGGTGGTCAGTGCTCATCATAGCGACCGGTTGTTTCACCGTTTGGTCGATTTGCATGTTAGCCTTTTATTATATAGGATACCATGAATCACAGACTCAACACTATAATGTAAATTCTTCCCAAATTGATTTAGTGATTTCAGGTTCCTCAATCACACTTCCAACAGGTTTTCCTTTGTTTAATATTTTTAATGTAATTTGATAAGCTATCTCTGAAATATATGGAATTGCAAAGTGCCATGAGTAGCCAGGATATCCTTGAATAAGATGGGAAGATTTGCTGTGTTAAATATCAAGTCATATTATAAAGTTGTGCAGCCACACACTGTGGTATTTATAGACAAGTGAACCAACTGAGTAGAATAGAAAACTTAGACACAGACTCACATGTACCTGATTTATGACCATGTGAAGTATGACAGAGGTTGCTCTTTAGATGAATGAGTCAATTATGGATTTCTTTTCTTTTTTTCTTAAATTCTTTTCCACTGATTATTGAAAGTATTACATATGTCTCCCTTTCCCCCCATAAACATGGATTTTTGTCAATAAATAGTTTGGGAAAACTGACTAACCAAACAAAAAAGGAAGGAAGGAAAGAAGGAAGGAAAGAAGGAAGGAAGGAAGGAAGGAAGGAAGGAAGGAAGGAAGGAAGGGGCGGGCCATGGCTGGTTTGGCTAGTGGTGAGAGTGTTGGCCTGAGGAACGAAGAGTCACAGGTTCGATTCCAGGTCAAGGGCACATGCCTCAGCTGCAGGTTCAAACCCCAGGAGTGGGAGGCAACCAATCGATGTCTCTCTCTCACCTCAATATTTCCCTCTCCCCTCTCTCCCTCTTTCCTCCCCCTCCCTCCCTTCCACTCTCTCTGAAAATCAGTGGAAAAAATATCCTCACTCCTTGGGGGAGGATTAACAAAAAAAAGGAAGAGAGAAAGGGAGGGAAGGAGGAAAGAAAGAAAGAGAGAAGAAAGGAAAAGAGACCCCTTACAACATACACACAAAATTAATGAAATAACTAAAGACTGAAATAAAAATTCTAACATCTGGAACCAAAGTTGGAGTAAAACTCCGTTGATTTTCTTTTCTCCTGAGATCATGTTCTTTACTTGGTTCTTCGTGTGTTGGGTAGTTTTGGACGGTATCCTGGTCATTATGGAAATGAAACTGTGGAGTTAAGAATTCGGTTGTTTTTCTCCATGGATGTTGCTTCCTTTACTTAGTTACACAGCAGTTCTCAACCTGTGGGTCGCGACCCCGTTGGGGGTCGAACGACCCTTTCACAGGGGTTGCCTAAGACCATTGGAAAATACATATATAATTACATATTGTTTTTGTGATTAATCACTATGCTTTAATTATGTTCAATTTGTAACAATGAAATTGGGGGTCACCACAACATGAGGAACTGTATTAAAGGGTCGCGGCATTAGGAAGGTTGAGAACCACTGACTTAGTAGGTATTTTTCTGGGCTGGGCTGGGCTGGACCTGTAGTCTCTTGAGTGACAATTTCAGTCCATTCGGACCTTTTGTCTTCAGCAGGGGACTTAGCCTGTTCACACATGTGTGGCTGGGGCTAACCAATCATGGAGGAAGACAATAAAACCTTAAAATATATGCAGGAAGCAAGAAACTATGAAAAATGATGCAGTACACTTGAAAACGGAACATCTAGAAATAAATACAATAATAAAAATTTAAAACTAAGTGGATACATTAAAAGACAAAGAGAAAATCTTAGCATCAGCCAAAGAAAGTGGACAGATGAGCTTCAAATAATTGACACACACAGCTGAATTTTTAATTGCAACATTAAAGTAGAAAGTTCAATGGCATTGATCTCTTCAACTGCCAACCTAGTATTCTATGTATAGGAAATTTATATTTAATGAATGAGAGTGAAATGAAAGCATTTTCATAAATAAAAATGGAAAGAATTCATTACCAACTGACTCTGACTAAAAGGAATTCTAAAGGAGACAGATAGTAAGTCATCCCAGATGCAAGTCTGAGATATAAGAAAAGAATAAATAACAGAGAAGTGAATATACAGATAAATGTAAATGAACATTGATTGAATACAATAGTAATAGTATTTAGTGGGGTCCAAAAAGGAGAGATAAGTTATGGGATATAAGCAAAGTTAAAGTATTCAAAGTTCCTTGTATTATCCAAGAAGATAACAAAGATTTTATCTTTATATTTTAATAATTTAACTATTGGTGTTATAATTTCTATAGTAAGGTAATTATAATTCAGAGCTCCCAAACTAATATTGGGAGCTAATTAACTACACACACAAAAAAAAGGAGAGGAAAAAACAGAAGAGGAAGTGTGACAAATAGAATATAATGCCGGAAGCCATCCTTGCTGCTTGACACAGTCGCTGCAGGAAAGAAACATCTGCACAGCATATGTTTCAAGGGACCTGGCATATATAGCATATTGTTCTTAATATGTTTGCTCTCCTTAGCGCCATGTGTTTTAACCAAGGTCACCTCTCCGAGAAAGGTTGTTTCCCCAGGTGGGGATTTTTCCCTGAGGTTAGGGAGGGGATACAACCCCTTAACTAAGTGCCAGGCGGGTAGTTAATCACTTTAACTACAAACAATCACGCTTAAGCTACATAATCTTTACTCCCTGGAATGGAGATAAGAAACGCCCTAACCTTTGCAATAGAAATTGACAGGATTAAAATCGACTGGTATAAATACAGATGTAACAAGACAATAAAGATCAGATCCTAGCCAGAACTTCGCTGGAGATCCTAACCAGAACTTTGGCTGGAGATCCTGGCTAGAGGTCCTGACTAGGCTGCTGATCAACTGAAGGCTGTCTCCGTGTCATTCCTTCTTCGCTGACTCCGTCCACACCTTTGGGGACCCCTGGACCTGTTGGGGTCAGACCCCAGCATCTGGCGCCCAACGTGGGGCACGAACCCACGACCCTGAGATTAAGAGTCTCATGCTCTACCAACTGAGCAGATCCAGCGACTGAGCAGATCCAGTGGTGCGCGACGAGAGCTGGCGGTTGCCATGGCGATGCGGGAGCTGGTGGAGGCCGAATTCGGGCGTGCCAACCCACTCATGAAGCTGGCCGGGCACTTCACCCAGGACAAGGCCCTTCGGCAGGAGGGGCTGAGGCCCGGTCCCTGGCCACCGGGGACCCCAGCCTCCGAGGTGGTCCCTAAGCCTTTGGGGGTAGCCTCTGAAGATGAGTTGGTGGCCGAATTCCTCCAGGACCAGAATGAACCACTTATATTGCGTGCCCCTCAGACCTTCAAGATGGATGACCTCCTGGCAGAGATGCAGGAGATTGAACAGTCAAGTTTCCGCCAGGCACCCCAGAGAGCCCCTGGGGTGGCAGACTTGGCCTTGTCTGAGAACTGGGCCCAGGAGTCTCTTGCAGCTGGAGATGCTGTGGATGTAACGCAGGATTATAATGAGACGGACTGGTCCCAAGAATTCATCTCTGAAGTTACAGACCCTTTGTCTGTGTCTCCTGCCCGCTGGGCTGAGGAATATCTGGAACAGTCAGAGGAGAAGTTGTGGCTGGGAGAGCCCGAGGGAACGACTGCCAGTGATCACTGGTATAATGATTATCATCCTGAGGATGATCTACAGCATACTGCCAGTGACTTTGTGGCCAAAGTGGATGACCCCAAATTGGCTAACTCTGAGTTCCTGAAATTCGTGCGGCAGATTGGCGAGGGGCAGGTGTCCCTGGAGTCCGGTGCAGGGTCGGGCCGAGCTCAGGCAGAACAGTGGGCAGCAGAGTTTGTACAGCAGCAGGGTACATCAGATGCCTGGATTGACGAGTTCACAAGACCAGGGAACACATCTGCCCTTGATATGGAGTTTGAACGAGCCAAATCAGCTATAGAGTCTGATGTCGATTTCTGGGACAAGTTGCAGGCAGAGTTGGAGGAGATGGCGAAACGGGATGCTGAGGTTCACCCCTGGCTTTCTGACTATGATGACATCATGACTGCTTCCTATGATAAGGGGTACCAGTTTGAGGAGGAGAACCCCCTGCGTGACCACCCCCAGCCTTTCGAGGAAGGGCTGCGGCGACTTCAGGATGGGGACCTGCCGAATGCTGTGCTGCTTTTTGAGGCGGCTGTGCAGCAGGATCCTAAGCACATGGAAGCTTGGCAGTATCTGGGTACCACACAGGCAGAGAATGAACAAGAACTATTAGCCATCAGCGCACTACGGAAGTGTTTGGAGCTAAAGCCAGATAACCAGACAGCATTGATGGCACTGGCTGTCAGCTTCACCAATGAGTCCCTGCAGCGACAGGCCTGTGAAACCCTGCGAGACTGGCTGCACTATACACCAGCCTATGCCCATCTGGTGGTGCCCAGGGAAGAAGGGGCCAGTGGCGCAGGACTGGGCCCAAGCAAGCGCATCCTGGGATCTCTGTTGTCTGACTCCCTGTTTCTTGAAGTGAAAGAGCTCTTCCTGGCAGCTGTGCGCCTGGACCCTACAAACGTTGACCCTGATGTGCAGTGTGGGTTAGGGGTCCTTTTCAACCTGAGTGGGGAGTATGACAAGGCAGTGGACTGTTTCACAGCTGCCCTCAGCGTTCGTCCCAATGACTATTTGCTGTGGAATAAACTAGGGGCCACCCTAGCCAATGGAAACCAGAGTGAAGAAGCAGTAGCTGCATACCTTCGGGCCCTAGAGCTACAACCAGGCTATATACGGTCCCGCTATAACCTGGGCATCAGCTGCATCAACCTTGGGGCTCATCGGGAGGCTGTGGAACACTTTTTGGAGGCCTTGAACATGCAGAGGAAAAGCCGGGGCCCTCGGGGTGAAGGGGGCGCCATGTCAGAGAACATCTGGAGCACCCTGCGTTCGGCATTGTCCATGTTAGGCCAGAGCGATGCCTATGGGGCGGCTGATGCCCGGGATCTGTCCGCCCTCTTAACTATGTTTGGCCTGCCCCAGTGACAGTGGGATGGGCTGCCCTGTGAGTGTCTGTCTGGAGGGGTCCCCGCTCTGCATGTGACTCCCTCTCCCCAAATGGGCCTACCAAGGGGGTGGGCTGATGATCATATGCGGTACGGCCTCTCAGGAGTGGCCTCAATGTAGGGGTGGGTAGTCTTTGTTCTAGTTCCTACATAATTGTAGGAAAATGAGCTGTATCTCTTGAGTCCCTTGGTAATTCAAGGGTGCACACCTGGCTACAGATCTCTGCATATCATGCCCTTTCTTGGTGCTGCTTTTTGGGTAGGACCCAGAGATAATAGGGTAACTGTTGTCATCAGCTGCCATTTCTCATAGGGTCTACCACATTTGTAATGTCTGTCCCCCCCGCCCTACTTTTACTAGGAATTGCGAATAGTACAGCTTCCTTGGGCAGTTATGTGTAGGCCATTCTTCTGCCATGCACCTCTGTGATGACCATATCTAGGGCGGGATGGCAGGAGTTGGCCTGTTGGACTTAAATGGTTTTTTTTTTGTTTTTTTTTTAATTAAATCTTTATTGTTCAGATTACATTTGTTCCTCTTCCCCCCCCCCCCATAAGTCCCCTCCTCCCAGTTCCCTCCCCACCCTCCGCCCTCACTCCCCACCCACTGTCCTCATCCATAGGGGCACGATTTTTGTCCAGTCTCTTCCCGCATCTCCCATTCCCCTTTCCCCCCCAAGAAAAGCCAGGCCATTCCCTTTCTATGTCCCTGATTCATTATAATCACCAGTTCATTCTGTACATCAGATTATTTATTCACTTGATTCTTAGATTCACTTGTTGAAAGATGCATGTTTGCTGTTCACAAATTGAATCTTTACCTTTTTCTTCTTCCTCTTCTTAAAGGAAACCGGTCAGCATTTCGGATAAAACTGGTTTAGTGGTGATGAACTCCTTTAGCTTTTCCTTATCTGTGAAGCTCTTTATCTGACCTTCAATTCTGAATGATAGCTTTGCTGGATAAAGTACTCTTGGTTGTAGGTTCTTGGTATTCAGCACTTTGAATATTTCTTGCCATTCCCTTCTGGCCTGCAAAGTTTCTGTTGAGAAATCAGCTGACATTCGTATGGGTATTCCCTTGTAGGTAATTGAGTCTCTTTCTCTTGCTGCTTTTAAGATTCTCTCTTTGTCTTTTGCTCTTAGCATTTTAATTATGATGTGTCTTGGTGTGGTCCTCTTTGGATTCCTTTTGTTTGGGGTTCTCTGCGCTTCTTGGACCTGTAAGTCCATTTCTTTCACCAGGTGGGGGAAGTTTTCTGCCATTATTTCTTCAAATAGGTTTTCAATATCTTGCTGTCTCTCATCTTCTGGCACCCCAATAATTCTGATATTAGTGCTTGAAGCTGTCCCAGAGGCTCCTTACACTATCTTCGTATTTTCGGATTCTTTTTTCATTTTGCTTTTCCGGTTGCGTGTTTTTTGCTTCTTCGAATTTCAAATCTTTGGCTTGATTCTTGCGCTCCTCTGGTCTGCTATTGGGTATAATATTCTTTATTTCAGTCCGTGTATGCTTAATTTCTAGTTTCTTTATCGTAGCATCGAGGGTCTCATTAGTTTTTGTGAGGCTCTCCACAAGTTTATTGCAAGCCCTCAAAATTGCGTTTTTTAGCTCCATATCCTCCATTTCTGTCATGTTTTTTTGTCTCCGCATTTTTTATGCTTTCTTGGTGCACCCCCTTGTGGTCTTTGTGTGCAGTCTTGTTCTAGTTAAGCCTTGATTTTTTTAGTTAATACTGAGGGATTTGACCACCAGGCTGACTGGCTGCGAGAATCAGCTGTGTGGAAAACTTCTGTCCTCTGGGAGGGGCTAATCTAGCCTTTGCCTGAGGCGATCCAGCAAATGGCTCTGCGCAGGGCTTGGGCGGGGCGGGATCAACAGGGCGGGCGGAGGGAGCAGTTATGGCGGCTCTCAGTCCCGTTCCCAGAGGCTCTGCTTCTCAGAACCCCGGCAGCTGCTGCAAACCTCGGAGAGAAAGCTGCCTTCAGATTCCAACTGATGCCGGACAATCCCGCTTCTCCCATCTGAGTCTGAGTCCCTAGAGACTCGCCCGGATCTGGAGCCCAGAGTCTGAGACTCCCTCCCAACTGAAAACGACAACCGTGCCCTCAGCCACCAGCCCACTTTGCGCGCGCACCTCGGTACCTTTGTATTTTTCACACTGGGCCTCCTCTGAGCCTCGGTTTGCTGTTCTCTTTCCTTCTAGTTGAAGAGTCTCTCCTCAGCCAGCTTTCCTGTGGTTCTGGGTGATGTCTGTTCCGTCTTTTAGTTGTATTTTTGAAGTGGTTGTTTGCGGCAGCAGTCTCCGGTGTTTACCTATGCCGCCATCTTGGTTCAATCCAATCTGGACTTAAATGTTGATTTGGCTCAGCAGAGTCAAGTTTTGGTAGGGGTGCTCATAGTTCTGTCATTCTTGGACCTCTCCTAGCTGTTGCTCAGATTCCCTGGATATGATGCTGCACACAGGAATGCTGGCCTCACTATCTGGGGGTCCTCAAGAGCTGCCAGGGTAAATTGCTACACAGTGTTTGAGTGTTGGGTAGCAGGAAGGCTCACTTGTGGAATTAGCTAGCCTAGAAGGGACCTGATGGGATCAGGTCAAGGGCTGTGTTCTGTGCCCGTTGGTGGAAGAACGGCATTGGGACGTGGGATGTGAATGCAGGAGTCCCTCCTCCTCTTAGACCTGTGAGTAGGAATTGAACTAGTAGCTCTTCTAGAAAGTTGCTTGAGAAATTGTACAATCCTCAAGGCCAAGCAATAGTAGAAAGGGCTCACCAAACTTTAAAAACACAAATTAAAAAATTACAAGAAAATGAGTTTAAATATTCCTCTCCTCATCATGTTCTACAACATACTCTATTTGTAATTAATATACTAAATGTAGATTCTGAGGGAAATTCCCCGATGTACAGGCATTGGAACCCTGATCTAACTAAACCTAAAGTCCTCGTCAAATGGAGAGACTTGCTTACAGGAGCCTGGAAGGGACCTGATGTACTTTTAACCTGGGGGAGAGGATATGCTTGTATATTTCCACAGGACGCAGACTCACCTGTGTGGATTCCAGACTGTCTAGTCAGACCTTATGTCTCACCGCCCTCCGTCTCCACCTCACCCTAGCACACCTGACCAGTGCCCGTCTGCAGCAGATGTGCAGCCCTGAGCTGGAACAATCTGTCCATTGGGAGGATCACATGTGCCTCCTTTTTGTCTTTCCACCTGTCCCAGCTTTGCCCCACATCTCCTTTCCTTTTTCCTTTTTTTTAAAATCTAACTGCTTGTTTGCTGGTTCTTTGGCCTTTCTCCTTCTCTCCTGAACACAGCCTTTTCTAGAATCTCCCTACCCTACTGTTTCAGGAAGGGCACCTCCCTTTTATGCCGTGACTAGGGGTGTTTGGTATATGTCCCATACATGGAGTTGTGCCAAGAGCCTGACATCCTGGGCTGAGAAAGCCCTGTCCCGGGACTCTCCTTTGTCCTGTATTGGCCCCTCTTACCCTCGTGTCAAGAGGGGCCCTCTTCTTACAATCCAATTGCCCATAGCTGTTGCCTGAGCCCTCTGTTCATGCTGAGGTCATGGTGACTGGTACCATGGATCTGTCTCTCGCCCAATGGTGTGAGCTGGGCCCTCCCTGGAGAAGAAACCTGGGTTCCCCAAGATATGTGATCAATGCTGGGGCCCCGCCAGCAGGCGAGGGGATCCCAAGGCAGTTGCTGGGCGTGGAGGCCACGGGGGCATAGGCTACCAAGGAGACAGAACTGAACCTCACATCACCCTGCTTGGCCCCAGAGGATGGCTGGTTAGTCAAAGATGGGTAAGATTCCTCAGGGAGGAACGACCTAATACAGGCACAGTCGCAGAGGGGCCGGCAGGAGAGAACTTTGGGGTCAACAGAGGTGGGGCACAGATCCTCACCCCCCCCCAACTATGCAGGGGCTTTAACACTGGCCCCTTCTGAGGGAGGTCTCCTGCCCCCATGGCTGCTTCCCGCTTCCCACGCCCAGCTCAGATCGGGACCCAGATAACAGAAAGAGACTTGGCCCAGCTCAGATCGGGACCCAGGTAGACAGAGACTGGCTGACAGCAGCTGCCCTCTCACTGCAACAGGACTTGTTTCCCATTTCTACCTTGGACCACAGGGAAAGGGGCAGCTGAAGGAAAGGGCTGTGTCAGGATGCTGCCTTCTTCCCTTTCTTCTCCCTCTTTTTTCTACACACTTCCATGCCTTGTAGTTCTTTTGCTTTCTCTTCTTTTTCTCTCTACTACCCTCCATCTTCCATATCAGCTGACCCAGAGGGCATAGCTTACTCCTCCTCAGACACCAACACCACCATCAAGCACGGCCCTGATGGACCCTTTGATGCAGCCCTTCAACTTGCTGACACTTCGGGAAGCCCGTTGCCAGTGACGCCGCCCGCTAGCCAGACCAACAAAGACAACCAAACCACTGACTTGAGGACAGCTGAAATCCCTTGACTGAAGAGACCAGCAACCTTCTACAAGAACAAGGCTCCTTGTGCAATCCATCCACTATGTTTATAGCTATGCTTATTGTCATTGCTTGCCAGTCTTCTTCCGAGTCTTAAACAGCCCAATCTGAGAGGTGGCCACTGATTTGCATGCGCTATCATTTAAAAAATAAAAAAGGGGGAATTTGCCAGAAGCCGGTCCATCCTTGCTGCTTGACACAGTCGCTGCAGGAAAGAAACATCTGCACAGCATATGTTTCAAGGGACCTGGCATATATAGCATATTGTTCTTAATATGTTTGCTCTCCTTAGCGCCATGTGTTTTAACCAAGGTCACCTCTCCGAGAAAGGTTGTTTCCCCAGGTGGGGATTTTTCCCTGAGGTTAGGGAGGGGATACAACCCCTTAACTAAGTGCCAGGCGGGTAGTTAATCACTTTAACTACAAACAATCACGCTTAAGCTACATAATCTTTACTCCCTGGAATGGAGATAAGAAACGCCCTAACCTTTGCAATAGAAATTGACAGGATTAAAATCGACTGGTATAAATACAGATGTAACAAGACAATAAAGATCAGATCCTAGCCAGAACTTCGCTGGAGATCCTAACCAGAACTTTGGCTGGAGATCCTGGCTAGAGGTCCTGACTAGGCTGCTGATCAACTGAAGGCTGTCTCCGTGTCATTCCTTCTTCGCTGACTCCGTCCACACCTTTGGGGACCCCTGGACCTGTTGGGGTTGGACCCCAGCAATATAATAAAATGGCAGATTTAAAACTAAATATCTTAATAATTACATTAAATATAAATGACTAAACTCTTTGGTTTAAAATAAGACCAAGAGTGGTATACTGAGTTTTAAACATTGAACTATATGTTATAAGAATACAGCAAGTATAATAACAAAAGGATAGAAAAAATGTATCATTTGTATTTGCAGAAGACTTGGTATACATGATCAATGCCATACAAAATAGACTGGTGCTGGCAGAAGGTATGAGTGCCA